TTATGCCGCTTCGCCAAATTTCACCTTCTCTTTTCTTTTTATGATATCTGCTTGCAAGACAAACAGCCCTTTTGCGAAAACACAATGGTGTTATTCGTAGACGGCCATTATTTGGCGAATAACTCGTGAACCACAGCACATATTGCATTGATTTTACTCTTAAGGTAACCAGTGGTGAAAACTTGTCCTGAATAGCTTATTTCCTAATACTTGCACAATATTCTAGCCAGAGGAAAGGTTTTTCTGTTCCTCTGAAATTTATTTAGGTTGAAAGTTGGCGCCAGAGACCAAATCCAGCGCAAGATATTTGGTTATATTTTTGGTTAATTTTATTTTTCTAGTGAAGTATGCCGGTTTAGTATGTTCAGGAACGAAGTCGTTTTTACTTTTATTTACATTCCTAGATACTATTTTTAACCTATTCATGTTGCGTATCATTCCGCCGCTCTTATTTCTTTTCATAGGCGCCCCAATATTTGTGAGGCCTGAGCAGGCCGCAATAGTCCAAAACGTTATAGTGAGATTTTGGTAAATAGGATCCTGTTTCCAAAGCAGATCTGCACAACTGCGGCTCTGAACAAATTTCACAACAGACAAAATCAAGGGACTCAATGTCACCTGAAGGAGCCAGAAGCACTTCAAGGAGGGCGCGTACAACCCCATCAGTTGTACACCTAACAAAGCCACTGCAGACGTAATTGGCAACAAGGAACATTTATTCACACTTTTCCTACTGCCATGCAAGAGCACAGGATTAATATAAACCTTGCACTGATCCCTTACGGGCGCAGCATCTAGCCAGTCTAAAAATGTTCCTTTTTATATATATATTTATTTGTACTCTGCCGTCTATTAGACCTGTATGTTTCACTGCCGCGGTCCATCTTGGAGTGGAACATTTAGAAGCTTCTAGCCGTTCTGCCGGAGTTATTTCCTTACCACTGGTCACTCTCAGAGATGGTTTTACAACCGTTTTCTCACTACAGCTGTAGCATCTATTCCCGTCTGTCCTTCCTCCTGTTTTTAAACTTGTACAACTAGTAATCCATGCCTGAGCCAAAAATAGCCTGCCTATCCTTTGTATTAATTAATCCAGCTCCCAGTAGCTTAGTCCTCCGCTGTCCATTTGACTTTTACGTTTCACCGTAGATGCCCACCTTAGGTTGAGGTACTTAGCATAATTTGACGCTGCTGCCCATGTTATTAACCTACTTCTGGCTCCTTTCAGAGCTGGCTCTACAACCGTATTCTCGCTCCAGCCGTAGTATTTACTCCCTTTTCTTCTTACTACTCTATTTAAAGTTGAATGCCTATTAGTCCGGGCCTCATCTTACGATAGCGAGCGATTCCTCCTTCGTACTTAATCCGTGTCCCAGCATCGCTATTCTCTGCCGTCTATTTGATTTGTTTGTTTCACTGAAGAAGTCCACCTTGGAATGGAACACTTAGTATCGTTTAACGCCGCTGCCTATCTTTTCCGCTGTTCCAGGTCTCTTTAGAAGCTGGCTTTGCAAAAGTAGGCTCGCTACAGCTATAGTTTGTAGTTCCTTCTATTCTTGCCGCAGCTTCTCTGACACTCCTTCTCATACCAGCGTACACCTTTTTGCTAGTATATTCTCACTGCACTTGTTACGTTATTCCACTCATAGTTTTCTAACCCGACGTTGCACTTCCACCTGCCCTCTAACACATTTGAACGATAAGCTCCATTACAGGCGACTGCTTGCCGGTATATTCCACAACTTTTAGGTTCTTCAGATTCCATCAACTCTTTTACTTGTTAACAACGCCTGCTTCTTTCGCTTTCCACAAAGGGCAACTGATGAATATGCCAGGTCCACTCGGACAGTAGTTGTCGCTCGCAAGCAACAAATATCCTGTCTCGTACCTGCACGCTAAATAACAGTTCCGCTTTATAACATAATCCGTCATTTCATTGTTATTAACCACCAAAACATTACAAATCTTTTGTTCATACCTTAACATAGACTTGTTCAATTTCCTTATCAGCTTGCTAGGTCATTTTTCTTCTCTCTCCTCTTCTAATAAATATCCTTGTCTACACGTAACACTTCCGAGAACATACCGGCGACTCCCAGCTGGCCACGGATGGAACACAACCCAATGAAATCGTCCGCGCTTTGCTATTGTAACCCACCTATGGAATCCGGAAACCTAAGCTAATGAATACAACTCATCTGAGTCGTCCAATTCAACAGCTCCAATCACTCACGCTCGGCTTCGTAAAATCCAACCACGCATCCATCGGGAGTTAATCGACGAAACACGACTGCGAATACCCGCGAGGACAATCGGTCGGATACAAATTTGGAAATGCCATATCACCGGTCGGCAGTGTCCCAGGAGGTGGTGGGTTTTCTCCTGGCCAGCGCTCTCCCTACAGAAAGCCACAAATGTCTGTTAAACAACACTGCGATGTGGCGGATGTGATTCGACACACCATAACTTCACTCTCCCAACCACGCATTGGCAAAATGACCAATACCACGGTACATAATTGCTGTGCATATATCTGCTCTCACACGGCTGAACTTACATGTTTTATCAGTGCTATGCCACTATTCGTAAAGCATTTCACAGGTTGTTTCGTATGTTTCCCTCACCTGACCCGCACTGGGTACACATCCTCGTCGGACCAGTTCCTCACCAGCATACTCCACTCCCATGATCACTAATGCTTATCTCGCACACCACGAGAATGACCTTCATTTAATGCTTGAGCCATGTTGGCCTGCACTACTGAGTACATCTTTATTACTCCCGCGCTTGGCCCTGCTAATTTTGTTTGCATGCACAACATTGCACTATCCTAATCATGCCCAAAAAGCTTTGACGAGAATAAAAAATTTTAATTAATTATTTATGTATCATTTTCAGATGAAATACTACAATCGTATAAAGTGGATTCTAAAGGTGTAAACCATACTAACTGGTTATTCTACAAAAAATATGGGGAAGCTGGCTATACAGCACTAACCACTTAAGTAGATGGTGTACCAACTGAACTGTTCAGCGTTAGAAATTAATAAGTATATTCGGCAAGTAAGATAACAAGACGCTAGCGTGTAATGACTCTAAAAGTCACTAGAACGAGCTCGCCAGAAGTCAAGTGCAAAGTGGCGGATGGCGTGCTCTGGACCGTGACTACCAATCGTTGGGTGGCGCCTGGGATAATAGTCGGTAAGCAATGACACGTAAGAGATGTGGCAAATACGGTACAGTAGAGAAGTTGGAGGCGACTGAACCCTACATGTATTGTGCAAGCTTGAGATATAGGAAGCAACTCAACTCGAGTGAGATGCGGTGCAGCAAGGTGCTTACTAAAATATTCAGTGTCAACGGATGTGCTGTTAGTACATCCACTTTCGTTTAGTATTTCAGCATACTTTCATTTATTCAGCGTGCCGATTCCACTACTTTCCCCGTTGCAGCAAAGAATACTTCATAAGCACTCCTTACCAAGGAACAATTACAGCACGACATGACAAGTAAGCTTGAAGAATATATTTCCCATAACATTATGATACATTTATAGGATACCTGAAATAGGCTTACGTTAAGTATAGGATTAGGATATTTAACCTTTTAACATGCCCTTGTTAAACCAGTACTTCAGTAAAATTCTTGCCTTTGAAACTTCCGGGATTTGTTACTATGGTTACGCTTAACTACTTTACTACAAACGTTACCATCTCGCACTAATTTATAAGCCTATGCAATGCATTCACGTTTATTATTGTAACTATAATAATTCGTTCCTATGTTTCCCGATTGCCCTCTTGCTGCCAGCTGTTCCATTTCACCTTCGCCCGTAATGAAATTCCTGGCATTGGTTAGAGCTCGCATCCCGCTTTATAATACGAGACTGGTAAGACATTTAGGTATTAAAAGTAGGTGTAAGAGTTTTCGTATTTCGATATAATGATGAAACAGAAATGGGTGCTTAATTTTCCAGTTCTTTTAAAACAAGCTTACTAATTAGACAAGTTAAAGTTGCTTAAATGCTTAAGCAGATAAATGCATTCGTGAATTAGAACAACATTGTTCACTTACCTTTACAGATAACACAAAATAACAAGACAGAAAATAAGCTTAAAGAAGTAAATTGTGCATGCACTTGAATCTTTCGGCGTAGGCGTTTTTAACTGTTATTCTACAGTGTCATATCGGTTGTTGCAGGTGGCTTATTTTTCATTAAAATTGTATGCTATAACATTTGCTTAACATTGGTATTTGGGTGTACTATATAACGTACAACAATTTCACCATACGCTAAGCTAAGTTTCTGAAGCGAAATTAGCCTATACGTTGTTACTTTGACTGATTGCTTCTATATTGTAGTTTAAAGATATGATTCTGATTTTAAAGCTGTTAAAAAATTTTGACAAACGAAAATTTAGATGTGAAATGTCATAAAAAGTCATTAATTTATAAACGTAAATGGTTTCTTTTTTACCAAGGCACTGTTGGGTGGCGTCTGGGATACTAGTTGGTAATCAATGACATGTAAGAGACGTGTCAACTACGGGACAGTATAGAAGTTAGAGGCGACTGAACCAATTCGTGTATTTTGCAGGCTGCAAAAATAGGAAGCGAATCAACCAGAGCTAGAAACGGTGCAGCAAGGTACTCACCAAAGCAATTCGGGTCAACGGAAGTGCAGTCAGTAAAACAAGAGGACGTTTTGAAGGTTAAAACGACGGAAAATCCAGTGTCGCAAAATATTGAAACAGCGTGCATTCCGGTACACTAAAGGCTTTACTGTTAACAAAAGCTAACGTTTTCAGTGCATTATGGCTTGTTGCAAAAAAGCAAAACCTAAGTACACTGTGTTAATTTAATGAAGATTTAGCCATCAGAAGAATGTTTCGTATACCATTTTTGTTAGTTAACCGACTCTAAAAATTTAACCGGTTTGTAATACGTTTAACATTTTTAAACTTTTAAAATTCATCTATTAACTTTCTTTATTGATCCATTTTAGATTATGAAAACACCGTTTCTCTGTAACGCTACTTAAATGCAAAGAAAGAAGCATATAATCTTGGTGATCTTCGCCCTTCTGTTACTCTCAAGTAAGATGGTTTTGCTACCGCGGAAATGTACGTAGTTGCCCGTTATTAAAACCACGTAAAGTTAATGCATGGCAAAATGAAACTCATGCTTTGTGTTTCTCCACCCTTTTGCGTTGGTTGACAGTTTACTTAGCAGTCGCAACCATTTATTTTATGGTAGCGTCAAGTACGTGTAAACTTAATATTTGAGATAAATAACTCTTTAATTACTGATTGTTTTGCAAACTTTTACAAATAGCGTACACACTTCGTTAAATGTCATGTATATGAGTACAGACTCGTTACTAACTCCTGTCAGTTTAGACAATAGCTATCCGCAACAAAAGTGACTCTAAATCACTTGCAAGTTTCACTTTCTATGGTATATTGTGGGACGCAGTAATGATGCCATGGTTATATTGTTATAAAAGTGCCATGTTTAAATATCAAATGTCGCATTTTTTAAAGTCAGAGTTAAAAACTTATGGGTCAAGCCGTTGTGCTACGTGTCCGCTTTATGTTACCGATAACTTTGTGTAGCAGTCTGGAGATTCCCCGGTTTGCCTGTGTAAAATTATAACTAAAATTATTTCATTGTACACTTAGGCAACCGGTGTGGTTTGTTGAACTGATTGCGGAGTTCGAATGCTTGACTTACTCATTGCCATTTTTGCTTGGCGCTCGTTTCAGTTGCAATCTGCAACTGCCCTGGGTGCTGTGCATGCTCCATTCCCCTAGCTAGAGCGTCCACTGTGTCGTTCCTTTATAGCTAGATAACAGGGAAGCGTTTACTTTACTAATAAAAGTTTCCCTGCAACTCGATCTGTCTTCTCGAATCGCTCCGAGCTCCCGGTACAGGCAACCCCTCTAAATTTGTGCTCTAGTAGCTTATTAAAAAGCAGCCGTTAATGGAACTGTAAAATTGTGGGGTTAAGTTTTCTCATCAGTTTCACTTCAGAACGCATGCTAATATTTCCTTGTTGTACGTAGTAGGTCCCAAGCTCTTGACAAATATGCAGTGGTTAACACTTCTGAAAGGAAAGCGAAGAAATAGTGTATCTAGTACTTTCAACTTAAGGCGCTAGCTGTTGTAGGATAATACTATTTTTCTTAACTCACTCATTTAACCGAAACCCAGCAAGCTGCATTGTAGTGCATCCTACCTCGAGCAGTAATGCCCTGTAGGCCTAGTAAATACTAGTCCGAGATGGTGCGTGGACTTGAGCGCGGATATCAGAAGGCCAGTGGAGTCGAACACAGAGGGCTGTATTCGATGGGCTACAAGCAGCCGGAGACGGATGGAGCGAGACAAGAGCAAAGACATGAGCGCGGGAACTCACAGGAGGTTCAAGTGTCTAGCCGGATGTAAGTCAACTTAGACATAATGTAAGAGAGATTTAAACAAGTATGCATAGTGTACAATTGGTTACCGGTGAAATTATACCCAATAGATAATAGTTATCTTATGGAGTGATAGAAAACCCCTCACCTAGAAGGCTGCACGAAAGAAGACTTCGATTGGGAAAACTACGAGTGAATCGAGGTCGGTTGCACATCCAGCGGCACCAAACATCGTAAACGAAACAATCAATGCTTAGGCCCCATTATCTTGTGAAAGCAAGTTAGGTATTTTCCCATAGTCGTGCGTTATATTCGTTGTGGACGGCACTAGTTAGCCAGGACTTAACTAACATGTGAGCCGTTGTGTTAACAGCCAATCCTGAAGAATCAAAACAGTATTGACGGACACTTTGTGTTACAAAACTTCTTCTAGCTTGTGTGGATTATATTGCTGGTTTATTGATATAGGCATGTCTAATATTCATGGCATTATCCATTGAACCAAGCTTACTATTCATATCATAGACTAAAGGAACCCACTGGCCTTGCATGCTTTTAACAATAAAGATAACTGTGGTGCGTGTGAACTGCGGAGTAATACCACGCCCTAGCTCATTACATCACCTGAATTACGTTGTGTGTTCCTATTTCGTTTCTATTTGTAGTCCACATTTAAGTGAGACTTGCACTTATATATATATATATATATATATATATATATTGTGTGTTCCCAGTGAAACACTGGATTACATAAAAGTCATATTAATGCAAGCTTTTAAAAGTTAATACCTGATTTAAGCAACACTTTGTTTATGCTCAGCAATTCTGTTACAATGTGAAGATAGCGCTAATTAGTTGAATGCTTTTTATACACCAATATAATTACCAACTTGGGCGCAATACTTTTAGGATGCAGATTTGCATCCATTTGCCTCATTTCCGTAACCTACTACTTAAAGGATTATGTCTGATTGTGTGAAAGGTGTAGTGGACTCGGACCCAAAGGGAAATAAAGATGAATAAATGATGATCAAAAATGACAAGACTCACAGAAGGGTTCCGATGTGGGTTAGAAGTCCAACCACATAAAATTTCCTAGTTCTCTTGCGTCAGCAACTCCGATGGATGACAAACGACGTTGATGAAACTAGTGGAGACGGAACGATATCTGTGGATGAATATTGCTCGAGGTTAGAACGTAGTGACCGACAATGCCATAAAATCCGCGACACAAGAACACAGAGAGAACACGTCGATTTGCCCGCGTGGTTCAAAAAGTGTGTTATGTATCAATCAAAACAAGTATACAAGGTTAATGTACAAGAATTGGTTGTTATAGGAAAGGAATGTACAATGAAAGATAAGTAAATTTACAGGCGCTACAAAGGAAACCCAAATTTTTCCGCATCTCGCCATGCCAAATTAAAAGCAAAGTTTGGGCTTTTGGCTCAGTGATTAGGTACTCAGATAAAAGATAGATATACCACCAAAGAAGCTCGTCTATTATTTGTGTACTAGATAACTCGGATAGGTGGTTTTGGTTTTTCGCAGTTTTTTGCTTTCTATTCCCTTGTATATGCACTATCCATTTAGTCAAGCCAAAAGCCCACAAACGTCCAAACTAGTTAATAGTAATTCATAGCTGAATTGAGGTGCCCGCTGTGTGCTTGGGTTGCGACTCGCCACCTCTATTGAGACCTCGGTTCACTTTGAGGTAAACCTCGTTCATTGGGATCTCGAGGACCGTATCCTGAATGGAAATATGTGGGTGTTGCATTTCCCAACACTGGCATAGCACGACCGCGGTTCCGTCCTGATTTGGACCCGTCAGGGGAGATAGCTGAGCTGGGGTGGTACTCAGAGTTTAGTAGTTCACGGCTGACGTCCTGAACACTATGCTACTGAGATCCGCGAGCAACGCTTGGCACAGCGGGAAGTACTCCAAAGCTGAATTTAGGGAGCACGCTGTGTGGTTGGGTTGCGACTCGCAACCAAATAGGTTACAGCGATAGATTCTTATAAAAAATAAAATAACGTCAACAAAATGCCTGATTGGATTTGTTGTATGCGGCAATTTTCACAAAAGGTTCACCATTAGCTGTTCCAAAATCAAGAACTATTCCTCTGTAATGGTGGTCGAACGTAAAATTTTGCTGCTGCATTTCTCCAGGGCCTTTCATTTTTAAGTAAATTAACTCAATTTAATTTCATCAGAGCATTGGCCAATTTACCCTAACTGCAACAAACTTGATTTGCTACCTGGGCCATGGCTATATTGTTGTGTGCAGCGCGATGGTGGAAATGCTACAAGTGGTTCTTACAAATTTATTCTTTCACTTCATGCTTGTGGCATGCATTGTGTAGGGAAGGGATCAGTTACCTGTAGAGTCCTCTGATGTTTGCGGGAAAAATATACGTTGGCGCTAGCTACCTTTTATAACTAACAAGTTGAATTTTTAACTAAGCACTTGATCTGAACAGTAGGTAAGAGAAGGCCACTAGGGAGACAAAACACAAACACCACATTACTTGGAAAGGTAGTATCAAGCTTATCAACTATCAACTTGACCTTAATTAGACTAGCACGTACCTGCTAGGCTCGACTTTGAGTGGAATTTAATTAAGTACTATACTTAAAATAATCAGGAACTTCGAGCTTCATTCTTTCTAGTTTTGCTGATAATATTTATGGTTTTGCTGTGGGTAGTTAGTTCGGTAGATAGTTTAGATGAGAATGCGAACATTTTGCTGCCAAGCAGCTGACAAACTCATGCGCAAACAACTTAGTGCACATCTTAATGGATGTTTCTAAATCGCGCGGTGCTGCGTCCAAAACACACAGGTCAGAGTATAAGTATCTTTTTATGATTACTCCATAAGTTTATTCAGGTGACTTTCCTCCTGCTTAATTTAGCACCACCAAAAGATTGGAACATAACTGATGTGAAGTGAACTGCTGTTTAACTGCTGGGTACAAAAACAAAGTAAAGCAGGGCCGCATCATTGAGCTTAAAAGATAAAAGTATCTACGAATATACAATGCATGGATGTGATCTGTGAGCCGAGCAATAATTCAGCGTATACAAGCATTTATGGATCTTCGGATAATTACTCTGCCACTCGCTAGCACTAGGAACCATGGACTGCTACTTAGTGGCGACAAATTAAAGGTGGCGGTTAGTTTTTGGCCAGCTTAATGTACTTTCATCTATGCTCCGTAGCTGATCTTGACGCATCGCCAAACATCTAATCTAGCTATATATGACAGAATCGCGCGTGGTTGCATAATCGTTCTATCCTTTCAGTGATTCTGTGATGGAGAAAAATATTAATATTCAGGACTGTTATAAAAACTTTAATAAAAAGCATCGGGTATACTCCTGGCCTTAAACTATCTTACCTATTTTTCACAAAGTAGCATGTACAATATACAGGTAAAAATGTACCAGTATTACAATTTTATCCAAGCTGCTAAATTTGGAGGATTTTCTTAACCTTAGATCGATCACGAACCCTTACATCCTTGCCTAAAGGGCAGGAACAAAGCAAATTGCGATTGTTAACCTTCGACTAACATAGTATTTAATGTTTTCTTTTACCTGTACAGCGATATCACAGGACTCCGCCAACATAGGAACTGCTTATGATCTTTTGGTGCTGCCTACTTTCGTGGTATACAT